CATTCCTGGAGGGTGGCACGGGCTGAGGAGGCGTGTGGCGGGAGGCTGGCGGGGGCCAAGCCGATCCAGGGCTGCAGAGGGGTTTGAGTTGGGGCAGGGAGCCCTCCTCTCCTATAGGTCTCAGGCCTGCATCCCTGCATCTGGGCAGTCCTCCCCATCCTCCAGACCAGCCAGCCTTCCCTACCCCCTCCCCCTGCTGTCATGGGCCTCACATGGCACCTCGTGGTGCCCTGTCCTCATGGCCACTCTGCATTCACTGCATGGCTTTGATCCACACCCGTGTCCCCATGCACTGGCTGTTCCCTGGGGCCAGAAGTAGGTCTGCTGTGGCTCTCTGCAGTGCCCTGGTGCCTGGTGTAGGGCCCGCCACACAGTTGGGTCCTAAGAACACCTTGCCGGATGGATGAAGCTGGCCCCATAGTCTGGGGCTGAGCTGAGGCAGGGGTCCTGGGACAAGGGAGGCAGGTTTGAGGCACTCTGAGCTGGCTCTGGGGCCGTAGGTCACCCAGAAGTGAGGGCCACCTCCTGGGTGGGAGCAGGAGGCCCATCCACGTTCCAGCTCCCCTGGCTCACCCAGCCCGCTAGGCTCTTGCTGGGGCCCAGCAGAGGAGGGGTTGGGCCCCACAGGGGTGAGGACGCCTGTTTCCGCCGGCACCAGAGGGTGATGGGGGATACCCTGAACAGCAGCTTCCCCGAGAGCACAGCACCTGGGTCAGGCATGGCGATTGAGCACCCGAGGCAGGGTTCACGTAGCCTGTAGGCTCTGAGCCCTCGGCTCTCAGGCAGGAAGCAGAGGCACTGGCATCATAGAACAGGAGCTTGGCCTCTGAGGTTAGGCAAACCTGGGTTCAGTCAGCTTCCTTGTTTTCTCGTTGGGGCTGGGGGACCTCAGATGAGTGTTACATGACCTTTTTGCCTCAGTTTCCTCGTCTGTATGATGGGGTGACTCCAGCTTGGGAAACCCCTGGTCCTCCCCAGCTCTCCCTCTCCAGGCCTGATGACAGCGTTGCCCTCCTGCTCTGCTGGGAAGTCACTCCCTGCCCCAAGTTCTCAGCCTTCATCCCTCTCCAGGGCTCTTGTGCCTCAGTTTCCTGAGGCAGACACAGCTCCCCTTGGCCTTTATTCACCCCCATCTTGTGGCAGAGATCTGCCCTCCACCCAGAGTCAGGGTCTTCCCCTTCCAGAGCTTTCTCCCTTCCTTGCCCAGTTGGTGCCAGAGCTTCAGAGAAAAAGGACTTTCCAAGAGTCAGAGCTGTGAATGAATCTGTCGCTGGCTCCCTGGCACCTTGTGGGCCTGAAACCTCTGGTGCCTGAACCCCTGCCCCAGGCACCGGGGGCATGGAGGAGCCAGCCTGCTTCCTTTAGGCTTCTGGCCCTCCCCACAGTGGGAGGCATTCTCCCCTTACAGGGCAGCCTTTGGATGTGGGGACCCCAGGAGCAGCCCTCGAGCCATCCCTGGTCCACACAGTGTTTGCTGCAAAGCTCAGCCAGTTTTAAAAAGCTGGCACTGGAACTTCCCTGGCGGGCCAGTGGTTAAGACTCTGCACTTCCAATGCAGGGAACACGGGTTCGATCCGTGGTTGGGGAACTAAGATCCTACGTGCCACATGACGCAGCCAAAATAAAAAATAAAGAAAAAAGCTGGCACTGACGCTGAAACTTGGGTTTCTGAGTTTTCTCAGGATTCGGAAGCTCAGTTGACCCCAGGCTTCAGGTCCTGTGTCCCAGCAGCCCCTGTGTCCCAGCTGCCATTTCCCCTTCACCCAGCCTCCTGCTCCCCCACCCCCATGTATTGTCACATGGACCCTCAGGGTTTCTTAGGGTGGACAAGTCTCCATCCCAGGCTCTATCAAAGGTGCATAAATGGAGGTGAGACCACGAGTTCAGTATTCAGCTAGCACAGAGGACAGGTCTGCAGTCGGATGGGCCCGGGTCCGGCTCCCCACCCTGCTGCTTGCTCCTGACTTGATGCAATTGTCCTGTCCTGTTTGAGCCTCAGTTTCCCTGCTCCTTGGCCTGGTGATAGGTTTATTGTGAGGACCCTGTGGGAGATCATACCCTTACTCTGGGGTTGGTTACTTTGTTCTGGTCATAAGAGTGGACACATCAGGTGGCCAGCTCAAGGGTGAGTTCTAGAAAACCTGAATGACAGAACATAAAGAAGGAAACCGGAAGTCACCCAGTAGGTAGCCCACCCAGTCACAGGTGCTCCGGGGGTGGCCCAGCCTGCTGCCTGATTTCTCACTTACCATCTTCCCTGTCTTCTAGGCAGATTTTTTGAAAGGATTGCCTGTCTACAACAAAAGCAATTTTAGTCGATTTCATGCCGACTCTGTGTGCAAAGCCTCGGTGAGTACGTGGGCCGTGAGCTGCCCTCGGGGAAAGGGCCGGGGTTGGTGTGCAGCCCCCAGGTCGGGGTCTTGCCAGAAAGGGGCCGAGCTTCAAACCCAGCCCCACTTGAAATCCTCGCACGTCTTTTGATCTGCATTGGAGGGCGGGTGCTGAGTTGAGGGGTGAGGGGACCCCAGACCTGTCTACTCTCCTAACCCATGCCTTCCCAACCCTCCCACAGAACCGACGTCCCTCAGTCTACCTGCCCACTCGGGAGTACCCGTCCGAACAGAGTAAGTGGCCTTTGTTGTTCTGTCTCATCCCGGCTGCCGAGGGGAAGGGCCAGAGGGTAGTGCAGGAGGTGACCTGTGGGAAGTTGGGCAGCTCCCAGCCCTTGGGAGCAGCGGGAAGCCTGGCTTTCCCTGGGACCCTCCTGGTGTCCACATCGGCATCCACATCCAGCCCTGCAGGGTCCCAAGCTGGCCCTCGTCTGCCGCTCGCTGGCCCTCACCCCCACCCCTGCATCAAGTCAGGCCTCCCCTGCTGGCTCCCTGTCACAGGTCTCGAGACTCATACCATGGGGTGGGGGACCCAGCCCAGGCTGGGGTGGGCAGCTTGAGGAGGGGGCGGCTAGGCAGAGGGACCTGCAGGGAAAGGCCTGGAGCCTGCAGAGCAGGGGGATCTCAAGGTTATTTGTTGTAGTCGTGGTGTTTTCTTTCAACCGTGAAAAAATCCTGGACTCTGCTGGGTGCGTTCTGTGGTCACTGGGGCACAGCATGTGGATCTGTGCTCCATGTCTGTCTGGGAAAACACCCACGTGACCTGGCATGCTGGGGCTCATTCCCTCGCCCGAGGGTGGAATCCGAGCTCAGCTTAGGACTCGGCCTCTCTCTGGGAAGCAGGGACCCTGTCAGGGCAGCCAGCTTGGGCTCATGGTAGTGGCCTGTGCTCAGGAGGGAGAATGCTTGGCTTCCTGAAATCTCCTCCAGGGTTGGGGGTGGTGACTTGAGTCACACAAAGGCCACCCAGGGCAGGGACAGCCCAGAGGCCAGGAAGGGGTAAGCTCATCCTGGGAGGGCAGTGCAGGCTGGGATGGGGGCTGGGCTGCCTGCAGCCGGCTCCCCACAGCTTCTTCCTGCAACTTTATCTGTCTTTCCTTCTCAGTTATTGTGACAGAAAAAACAAACATTCTTTTGCGCTACTTACATCAGCAATGGGACAAAAAGGTAAGGCACTTGGGGTTCGAGTGCTGGGACTCGGGAAGGAACACAGTGCCCAGCAGGGGGCTCTGAGTAGCAGAAGGACACCGGTGGCTGGGAGACTGGGTGTTCGAGTGGGGCCTTGAGGGCTGAATAGGTGTTTGCTAGGTGATTCAGGAGAAGGAATAATGCTCTAGAGGAATGGCTGTGCAGAGGCCACAGGGCTCTAGTGCTCAGGGACAGGCAGGTAAGCTGTACTGAAGCCCATCTCCCCACAATTTGTGGGGAGCACGGCCCTGGTGGCAGATAGACTTCAGTGTTGTTACTTGGAGTCTTTGTTCAATGATGAAAAGTACACACGATTAAAAATCCAGGCCCTACTAGGATGCGTAGCTGCTGTGAAAAGTCGTCGCCCCCGTCCTTCCCATAAGAGGCCACCTTTCTGATAGGATATTTTTTCTTTTTCTTTCTTGAAAATCTGCACGTGTAGTTTTGCTTGTGGTCAGATTGTTTTTTCCCCATAATGGTGAACATTGGACAGTGACCTGCTCTGGGCCAGGTTGGAGGCGGACCCCATGATGAAGTGACTGCTCAGAAAACCCCAGCTCCTGGCCACCCCCGCCCCACAGCCTTGATTCCCACCAGTGAGGAAAGGAGGTTTTCCCAAATCAGCATGCTTTCCTCTTCTGTGGCAATTTGGGGGCTTCCCCGGGTGGCTCATGAGTGCCCTTTGCCCTCCGGCAGGGTGGATGGCTTCTCTGAGTGTCTGAGAAATGCTGTGTGGGGGTCATTGAGAGTTGTGGTGACTCCTTGAAGTGCTTGTCACAGGCTGGTGTCCCCAGGGGACCATGGCTTGGTGGGGCAGGTCCAGGGGGCAGAAGGGTCTGCCCAGCCACGGGCCCTAGGTCGACTGCCCGGCTCTGTGATGTGCTGGGGCCCCAGGGCCAGCCTCAGATTTCAGGAGCTCCCCCAGCATGAAGACTCACAACCCCTCCACTTCCCCTGCCCCCCAGAATGCCGCCAAGAAGAGAGACCAGGAGCAAGTGGACCTCGAGGGTGAGAGCTCGGCGCCCCCCCGCAAGGTCGCACGGACCGACAGCCCGGACATGCACGAGGACACTTAAGACTCACACTCCCCCACAGGCGCCTCCTGTCTTGTCTGCTCCTCGCCCGCCCGCCTTGTGTAAGCGCCCTGCCCCTCAACCCCTCCGCCGGCCCACCCACGCCCCACCGTCCACACCACTTCCAACCTCATAGGAGCCGATGTATTTATTTTCCTTGAGTTTTTATTTATGCTGTAAAATGTACCAAGCGATGGTTAAAGGGGATGTCAGACCCAGTAGTGTGATGTTGGTAGATGCTTTTAAAAACAATTGTTACTCACCTCCCCCCTTCCAGTTCCCCCTCCTCTCGCCCCCCAGTTCTCCTCTGGAAAACTGGAGCGTGTCTGAGAGGGTCTAGAGCCAGGCCCCTGCTGCAGCCGGCCGGCAGGGGTGGGGGCCCTTCTCCCGGCTCCCACCGGCTGGTTCGGGCCTTAAAGACTTGCCTTGTCTCGAGTTCCACCGGGACCTATTCTGTGCCCAGACCTTGCTCTGAGCATGCATAAGGGGTAGAAGTCAGCCCTTCCGGATCTTTCTCTTAAGTCATTTTATCATGGACTAGTGCGTGCTCCATGTCCACCCCAATAAAAGGATCTTTCCTACCCGACCTCGCGTCTTTGCTCGGCATGCCTCAGCCCCAGAGGATGGAGCCACTGAGAATCGTCCCATCATCACCAAGAGGAGCCGAAAGGGGCCCCCAGACGCTGGGGCCCCAGGACCAGCCGGATTCTCTCGTGGGCCTGCTGCGGCCGTCTCGATCAGAGCCAAGACCTGCCCGGACCTGCCCCTCTACCCCAGCCGTCAAGGTGTCCTCAAGGACTGGGACACCCCAGAGAGACGGTCCATGCTGCCAAGGATGGAGCTGTGGTGGGCCCCACGCACATGACACTGGCGAGCAGGGCAGCACGCCCACCAGCCTCTGTGGAGACAGCCCAGGTGGCCCGGCCTCACGCCCTCAGAGAGGAGGCACGTGGAGCGCCGCGGGACGGCCAGCCCCAGTGCCCTCAGTCGGCAGGTTCCACGGCTACTCCCGGGAGCCAGCTGGACTGGGCTTGGGGCTGAGCCCGGGGACGTAGGGGGGCATTCGGGCTCCAGGCAGAAGGTTTGAGTTCCTGACCACTGGGCACAGGGCCAGGGGAATGCCACTGCTTCCCCCGCCAGCCCTGAGTGGGAGCCAGAGTGCTGGAGCTGATGGCTGGGGTGTTGGGGGTGGTGAAGGGTTGGGCTGCGGCGTGAGGGACACAGGGGTTGCAGGGGGCGCCTGCCCCAGGTTGTCACCGTGGAGGGCCCAGCCTGAGGCAGACTGCTGCAGCCTGAGCTGCCCCGTGCCTGCCGGGTGGAAGGCTCCTGGATTAGCTGCCCGGCTGCGGGGCCCAGCTCTGGGCGCATGTGCAGCGGTGTTCAGTTCCTGTGGTCATAAGGCTGGTGCTTAGGAAATGCAAGCTTGACTGTGGTCGTGCTGGAGAGGGCTAAGTCCCTGGGGGTTCTCAGACCAGCTTGGAATCCCCAGTCCCAGGGGTTGGCCTGACCCTGGGCAGGCGCGTGGTGTCGCCGTTTGTTGGTGGCAGAGTAGATGGCAGGACTTAAGCTTCAAAGGCCGTGCGTGGGGCCGGGCAGGCACAGGCTTCAGCCTGTCCTTCCCCGAGGCTTGCCCACACCTCCCTGGCCCCAGGTTGCCCTTTGAGGGGCTGGGTTCTGTCTCCTGCCAGTGCTGTCCACGGTGTGGGCAGGGGTCCCGTGGCCTCCCTGTGGTCTCCCCAGCACAGGCCCCTCAGCCAGCCTCCACCCACCCCTCTTGCCTTTACTTTTACTCACTCTGTTCCCCCAAACACCAAACCCTGCCTTCCCACACCTCTGTGCCTTTGCACAGGCTGCTCTCCTGCCTCCAGTGAACCCTGACTTCTCTTTCATGGCCCCCCCGCAAGTGCCCCTTCCTCACACTGGCTCCCCCAGCCCTGCCTGGGGTGGGGCCCATTGGGCCCTGAGCCTTTGTATGTGGACACACCTGAGGGTGGAAGAGGCCATGTCCATCCCTGATCACAGTGAAGAGTCCCAGCGAATAGGGTCTGACAGCCGTCCCACAGTGGGGCATCCCTGCCCTTTCCGGAAGCCACACCCCAACATAGCATCCCCTCAACATCGAGACTCAGGCACCAGGTGCCTTCCGCCTTCCACACCCAAGTTCTCCCCGCAGCCCTTGACTCCTCAGATGGCAGCCTGGGAGGCGGGTGTGCCAGAAAGGGTAGCCCTGCACGACTGAGGTCAACTCAGGACCCAGGCCCAGGGCCCAAACTGCTGAGTCCTATCAGCACTTTGAGATTTCTTCCTTAGTCTAGGAGGCCGAAGATGGGGCCTGAGGCTCTGCAGCTCCTCCCAGGGGCCCCTGGGCCTGGATTTTTGGAGTTTTCCAGCCATGGCCTGGAGACCCAGTTCTTTGGAGGAGTTCCCTAAGGGTCATAGATGCGGGGGTTGGGGGGGGACCCACCCTAGGCCTGCCTGGCCCCAACCTCGTCATTGGGCCCCTTACGTCCCTTTTCCACAGCTCCGCCCTTTGGCACTGTTGAAATATACTTTTTATTGCATTTCTGCCGTTTTACAAAAATATGACAAAATAAATTAAAAACAAATAAATAATCGCCTATTCTGTGTGTTTTCTGTTGTTTTTTTTGGGTTTCCTTTCCTTTCCCCCCATCCTGGTCGAAAGGAAAACGGCAGATAGAGGGGCCCCAGGCCCCCGGCCCTGACCCAGGACGGGGCAGCCAATACTGGGATACACCGACAGCAGCGTTTTCTGGGTGGCGGCCGCCGCCCCGTCCGTGATTGATATTGCATATGAAAACAGGAAGGCAGGGCGGGCGGAGCTAATGCCAGCCGCTGGGCCAGCACACGGCCTGGGAACTGGGGCTGGGACTGGAGCTGGGGCTGGGCGACGGTGCCGGGGGCTCCGGGGGCTCGGAGGTGGGAGGCAGCGGCGGCGGCGGCAGGCTGTAGAAGCTGGCGTCCCCCGGCAGGACGCCAGCTGCCGGGGCGGGCAGGGGCCCGGCGAGGGCGCAGGGCGGACACTCGGCGGCGGCGGCGGCAGGGGCCTGGCGGGGGGCGGCGCCCTCGCCCCCGCAGCCCCACGGCCCGTCCCACTGCCAGCAGCCGGCGGGTGGCGTCGGGGGCCGGGGCAGCGGTGTTGGCGGCGGCGGCGGCGGCGGCGCAGGGCTCCGGCTGCGGCGGGTGCGGAGGGCCGGGGCGCCCACAGGGGCCGGCGCTGTCCCTGCGGAGGCGAGAGGGGCCGTTCCGGGGAGATGCCGGCCCCGCCGCTGGACCCCGCTGGGGACCCTGCCCGCGCTCCCTCCGGGCTTTCAGGCACATGGAGGGCCTTATTGCTTCTGATCAGTGACAAGGGGTGGGCTTCTTCAGGTGCATCCCCCGCCTCTGGGCACTGGGCCCCTCCCCGTCACGGGGAGAGGACGGTCTGAGGAAGTCCCTCTGACTTCTGACCTATATCCCTGGTGCTACAGCTGCCACCTCTTGGGCTCCCTGGGATGGGCTGCTGGACTCCGGGCTGGGACGGGGTGGGAGGGGCGGCACTGAGGCCTGTGGCTCTGCTCGGCACACGTGTGGCTGCAGCCCTGAACTCCCTGGGTGGGCAGCCTGAGCTCCACCTCCCAGGAAGGCCACCTCGAACAGCTGGGCTGCAGGGTGGGGACTTGCATAGAGGCCTGGGGGTCCAGTGCCCCCAGAGTGAGCTGGGTGTAGGGTCTCATGGGGGCAGGAGAGGCAGGGCCAGGTGGTGAAGGGGCCTCCCTCATCTCTCCTGGCACTGGAGCATAGCAGGCCGTGCGAGGGGCACTGGGACGAGGGGCTTTGGCATCCCTCCCCAGGGGTGAGGAGGGTCAGGCACAGGGCTCCAGGCTCTCCGGGGTCCCGGAAAGACTGGGTAGGCTTTGACCAAGAGGCTCCATGTACCACATACCCAGGTCCCCAACCGGTACCGGGAGACTGGGCCTCCTCTGTCCCCTTCAGCCCCTCTCCCCAGGCCTGGGCACCCCACCCCTATCCCCAAAGCCCGGCCCGGAGTCCCCACCCCCGAGTTAAAGCTTGTGACCTGAGCCTTCCTCTTCAGGCCGGGGTGTGTCCGGCTCCTCGGCTGCGGCCTCGTCTGCCGGCCCACTCCGCTGGGCTCGGCTACCACCACTGCCACCGCTGGGGGTCCCGTCCTGCCGGGCCTGCCCGCCCGCCCCGTTGGACCCGGCCTCAGCCCGGGCCCCGCCGAAGGGGAAGAGCTTGCTGGCATGGAAGGCTTTGGGCGGCGAGTGGCTACGCTCTGGGTCCCGCCGGGTCTCGGGTGACTTGAGGAATCTGAAGCTGAGGAAGGCTGGCAGGCGGGTGTCACTGCCTGTGGGAGATGGGGCAGGGGGCGGCCGGGCAGTGAGGTTGGCCCCCGCGCCGGCCAGCGAGGATGCAGCCCCGGACGACAGGAACTTGCCCTGCAGCGGGATGATCTGCTTCAGCTTCATGACGTTGTTAGGTGCCAGCAGGGACCCCGGGCGCTTGGGCCGCTCCGGCCCATGGCCTCCTGCCGCCCCACTGCCCTTGGCCTTGGCCGAGGCCTTCTCTGGGGCAGCAGGGTCCAACCCGGAGCCCTCAGCCCGAGCTTCCTCCCGGCCACTGGCGTCGCGCTCCCTGCGGGCATGATGTTCTGCGTGGCGCTGGCGTTCCTCCTCCTCTCGCCTCCGCCGCTGCTGCTGCTGGTAGCGGTGCTGGGCCTGGCGCTCATGTCTCTGTGGGCAGAACGGGGCCATTATGGGGACACTGGGAAGAGCAGGCAGGCGAGCAGGCACCAAACCAGGCCCGGGCCCATGCCGGCGCTCTCCTGCGGAAGTTGGGAGAGATCCGAACGCTTCTTGGGTACCAGCTGCATCCCCGGACCCACCCTGGGGCTCTCTGCAGAAGTGGGGAGAGATCTAAACACTTATGGGGCACCAACTGCATCCCTGGACCCATGCCGGTGCTTTCTGAGGCCTGAGAAGAGAACGAACATTTACTGGCCACCACCTCTGTCCCTGATCCCCTGCCAGACACCGTCTTAGGAATTGGGAGAGTGTAAACAAATATTGGGCTTCAGTGGTTCCCTGCTTTCTGGAGAACTGGTGAGAGACAGAGCTGTGACTGCCCCATCCAGTGGCCGGTAGCCACACACGGCTTTGTCAATTTAAATAACTGCAAAGAAAAAGTTTGTTTCTCAGTGGCACCAGCCCCGTTTCAAGTGCTCGTTGGTCATCTGTAGTGCGGGGCTACATGGGCAGCACGGATATAGAACGTTTCCATCATCGTGGAGAGCTCCATCGGTTGGCGCCAGTGAGCTCCCTGGCCTTCTCTGCAGCTTTCTGAGGAATGCGGCAGAGGCTTGGGCTTCTAGGAAGCGTCAGCTGTGTCTCTGGCCCCAAACTGGGCAATGCTGGGCAAGCTGGTGGATGACAGTTCGTGAGTGTCAACCTGGTGCTGGATGCCACCAGGATCCCAGAGGGGACCGGGCCCCTTTGGAACGCTAATTATTACACCAGGCTCTGAACACCCACCCTCCTGCTAAGGACTGGACGGCCAGCCAGGCTAGGTGGAGAAGCCCCACGGAGCAGAGACGTAAAGCGCACTCACCCCAGCCCACATACCTTGAAGGCCTCCCGGCGCTGATACTCCAGCTTGGCCATCTCCTCAGCCACCCAGCCCGGGATGTCGGGGATGGCCACGTGGATGAGGTACTTGAGAAGCAGAGCGAAGTGCTGAGGTGACAGAGGAGGAGGCTGCAGGCACGGGGACACCCACCCGCCGCCTGGCTCCCCAAACCCGGCCGCCAGCCCCACCTCAAGCACCACCACGGACACGATGGCCGCCTCGGGGCTGAGCCAGGGGAAGAGGCGCTGCAGCTGCCCACACTGGCCAATTAGATAGCAGTTGACTACGATTGCGAGGACGCCCATGACCTCCATCACCTTCTGCAGGGGGACAGGCGGGCTCAGGGGGTGCCCAGCCACCCTCCCCAGCACCCGCTCCTCCTTGGTGCACCCCGGCTCGGGGCCCTCAGCCCTCCCCCCACCTGCCACTGGCCAATGCTCTCCACCCGCTGCCCAAAGGGCCGCTGCAGCCCCGTGCACAGCTTGAGGGCGTCACTGCGGATCTCGATGAGGTTGTTGATGAGGGCGCAGAGGGCAGCCAGGGGGAAGGCAGACGAGAAGAGCACGACATAGCCAAACTGCACAAACATCTCCTGGTAGTCCTGGAACGTGTCCTGTGGGCGGGCACCTGGGTGGGGCCTAGGGCTCTCCCTCCGTCCAGGACACCTCCTCCCTCGGACCACCTTCCTGTCCTCAAGCCCACCCCCCAGATTATTCTGCATGGACCCAGAGCTCCCCCTCGGGCAAGTTCCTGACCACATGAAGGGTCCCATTATTCCCTCCCATCACCCCCAGGCCCTCTACCTCACTGCGCTGCACCTCTCGGAGGGCCCAGCCCCTGCCCTCAGGCACCCTCCTCACCTCGTATTTCTTCATACAGCTCTCGAGCTCAGCCTGCGTGAGCTGGGCCGAGTGTTCCTCCTCTGGTGGGTCGATCCAAGATGACCGGTTCTGCCGCCGCTGCTTCCGGGCTGAGTCACCCAAGCCCGGCTCTGGGTCTGGGCCCCCATCGGGGCCCTGGTCGCGGCCCTCACCTCTGGCCCGGCGGAGCAGAACAGCCGGGGGCTCCCGTTCAGGGCTGCTGGGAGCCCCCTCGGCCTCATCGTCCTCCTCGGCCAGCGTGAACACGCCAGCTTCCAGCCCCTTCTCCACCATGGTGGGGCTCCCCTCCTCCAGGAGGGCCTCCGGGCTTGGGCCCAGCCGCCGCCGCCCAGCCCCCCGCTCAGCAAAGCTGACCTTCCTCAGCCGAAGCCCGCAGTCCAGGAGGCCGCCCTCGCCGCCTTCCTCCTCCTCGTCCTCCTCCTCCTCGTCCTCCTCCTCCTCCTCGTCCTCCTCCTCCTCCCTGCCCCCCCGAGGCCCGTCCCCCACCTCCCCGCCTTCCCCCGCTGGCCGACGCTCCATGGTGGCCTCCTCCTCCTCCTCAGGTGCCCCACAAGCCCCACTGAGACATCTGCGCCCCCCACCACCGCTGCTGCCACCGACACCCTCTTCAGCCTGCGCTTCGAGGTGGCGTGCAGGGCGCCGGAGGCTCAGTAGGCCAAGCAGGGCACGGGCCAGCTCCCAGGCAGCCCGCAGGCCAATCTCGCCACGGCCCAGCCGCCGGTACAGGTGCGGCTGCAAGACCTCTCGAACATTCTGGAGGAACTGGCGGGTGATCAGCAGAGTGGCCAGCATCTGGGGGCAGGAAGGGGGTGGAGAGAGGCCACGTGGGGGGCGGGCAGGGCTCTGGGCACCGGGACAGGCTGCGGGGACTGGGCACCCGCCCTCCCGAAACACGCTTCCAGACACACCCTGAACCCAATTTGGATGTCCCTGGACACGGAGGCAACCCCAAACCGCAGCTGGGCAGGTCACAGCGCTCCTAGCCAATCTCCTGGGCAGGCCATGGCTTCCCTGCTTGCAGCACCGCCCAGGAGCTCACTCAGCTGGTGGCCAGGGCCTCTGGGGGCTCCTGCCACCTGCACCCCGTCAGCGGAAGCCCATCCCCTCAGAGCATGCACCCTCGGCTTGGTGTGAGGTCCCCAGCACAGCCACACTGCCCACCCCGGCGAGGCCCCAAGGGCTCGCCACCTGCCAGTACTTTGGCCCGGGCCTCGGCCCCGGAGGGAGAGGAGGAGCAGGCGGAACCGCAGGGCCGCGAGCGGGACCAGCACCGCCCAAAGCTGCCGCTCGAGGCTCTGGGACAGGGACGGGACGATCAGGAGCTGTGGAGGGACCGACGGACAGGTGGACAGACAGATGGAGGGGGCGACAGGTAGAGAGAGGACACACAGACGGACAGAGAGGAGAGAAGGATGGAGGGGGAGGAGGGGCCGGAGAGCCCATGGACCCGTTGGGCCAGGTCTGGCCCCCCCACTGGCTGCCATGGGGGGCACTGCTTCAGGCCGGGGTCTTACCTCTTTCAGGCGCTCCATGTCCTTGAGGTAGAAGCCAATGTAGAAAAGGCTCAGGTATGAGTTGACGAACTGGAACTGTGGGAAGCAGGCAGGTGGGCGGCCACCCTGCCACCTCTGTCCCCAGGAGCTCCCGTGTGTCCCCTGCAGAACCCCTGCCTGCCTGCTGGCCACCACTCACCAGGACAACCTTGATGATGAGGTGCTTCTCGTAGGCGCTCTCCAGCCGGTAGTTCTCTGGGGGCCAAGGAGGCGAGTGAGGGGGTGGCCCAGACGGTCATGGGCGGCAGGCACACCCCGCAGGGCGGCGGGGCCCTTCCTCCTGGGGGGTGGGCAGTGGGACCTCCCCTCCCAGGGCATACCCATGTCGTTGAGCCAGACGGCCAGCTTCTTGTAGCCCTCGGCGCTTGCACTGACCAGCAGGGCCAGCATGACTTTGGGCAGGAAGCGGGCGAGACGGGGCAGCCCCTTCACACTCAGCACCAGCTCCTGCAGGGGCAGGGCGTTCACAGGTCACCCTGGCAGCTGGGCTCAGCTCACAGCACACCTGGACAGGTGGCCGCCAGGTCGGGGCCAAGGCCAGGGCTAGGGGCTGGAGGTCACCTGCAGCTGGAAGCAGCCGAGCATGAGCAGGAACACACAGGCCAGGCAGGTGAGGCACAAGGGGAGACTCACAAGCAGCTGGAAAAGCAGCCGCTTCCAGGGCGGGTAGTAGAACTCCTCGGCCCGAGTCACGGGGCTGATGCGTCGCACGCCCTGGCAGAGGGTGGGGGCCCGGCCCAACATGAGATCAGAGGGGCTGCCTCTGCCCTGCACCCTTCCCGACCCTTCGGCCTCAGTGTCTCTTTGTCGTGCTCTGCTACTGCGGTGCCCCCGCCTAATGCACCCTTCCCAGCCCCTCAAAGCCAATTTCCCACCCCTCTCCCTTTGGGCATGGAGAGCCCCCACTTGGCATACCATCTCGGATGCTGCAGCCCTACTTTACCCCTCCCTTTGTTCTTGCAATGCTCCTCGCCCAGTGTGTTTTCTCTTTTTTTTACCCCATTCTCAAAGTCCCTGGACTCAGATCCCCCCTGACTGACCCTGAACTGGGGCCGTGGCTCCTCCACAGCTTCCCCGGGTGAGTCCAGCGTCCCCCACTTGTAGGCCAGCTCTGCTCCCCTCCGTTTCCACTCCTCCAAGAAGAGCGTTGACCAGACCACGTTGAAGAGGGCAAAGACCACGCAGGATACATCCCGGCTTGTCTGGGGGTGGCAGAGGAGGGCTGAAATGTTGGCTGGCCCAGTCCAGGGAGGAAGGTGTCTTGGGTGTCCCAGCCCCTGTGCAGTCCACACCCGGCACCTGATCAGCCTCTGTGAATGTGTACAGGACAGAGCCGAAGACCGCCGGGTACACCATTGCCGATGTGTAGAAACCCAGCCAGGCAAAGTACATGGCAATCTTCACACCAAAGTAGTCGCAGATCTCATCTGCCAGGGACAGGGGTGTGTCAGTCAGCCCTGACTGCCTCCTGGGACACCCCCACCCCCACCCCCACCCCCTGGCCGGACCACACCTAGAGGCTGGTTTTCACACACAGCCTGCACCCATGACTTCATGAGGCGATTCAGGATGCGCTGCTCGTGGACTGGGAACACCTGCTGGATGATCCCGCGGGCCGCCAGTTCAGGGACTGTTGGGGGACAAGAACCCTTCTGCCTGTGCTGGGCCTGGCCAGCCCCCCTCGGCTGAAACCCAAGTCATAGCTTTTTGCCTGCTCTTAAACTCGCAGAGGCTCTTCCCAGGAGAGGAGTTCTTGGTGGAAGGAATATCCGGTTCTTCCTCAAAATTTGGGAGGTGCAGGGGCAGGAGGGGAAGGGTGCAGGAAACCTGAGAAGGTGGGATCCCAGTGGGGAATCACTTTTTTTTTTTTTTTGGCCCCACCGCACGGCTTGCAGGATCTTAGTTCCCCGACAAGGGATCGAACCCGGGCCCCCTGCAGTGGAAGTGTGGAGTCCTAACCACTGGACCACCAGGGA